CCCGAACAAAATTCAATATACTCAACGAGATGTAGAAGAATTCCAAAAAGAATGTTCAGAATTAGTTGAAAAATGTATAATACTAGAAAGTAAAAGCCCTCATAGTGCACCTGCCTTCTATGTAGAAAATAATAATGAAATCAAAAGAGCAAAAGGAAGAATGGTAATAAACTATAAAAAAAAACTAAACGAACAAACAATAGGAGATAGTTATAAATTATCAAGAAAAGATTACATACTCAAAAGATTAAAAGGTCAGACATGGTTTTGTAGTTTAGATGCTAAATCAGGATATTGACAACTTCGTCTACATGAGAATATCAAACCATTAACAGCTTTTTCATGTCCAACACGAAAACATTACGAATGGAATGTTCTCCCATTTGGATTGAAACAAGCACCAGCTATATACCAACGATTTATGGATCATGTCTTAGACGGTTTTCAGTCATTTTGTTTAGCATACATTGATGACATCATCATTTTCACCAACACATCAGAAGATCATCGTGAAAAAATCTTGATAATTTTACAAAGAATAAAGGGGAAAAGTCTAGTTATTTCTAAGAAATCAAAACTTTTTCAAAGGGAAATTGAATATCTTGGTATGAAAATTAATAATTTCGGTGAAATTGAGTTGTCACCAAACACAAAAGAAAAAATTGATAAATTCCCAAACCAACTTGAAAATAGAAAAAAAAATTTCGTTGAAAAAAAAAATCAACGTTTCCTTGGATGTTTAAATTATATTAGTGAACAAGGATTTTTAAAGGATTTAGCAAAAAAAAAAAAAACATTTACAGAAAAAGATTTCTGACAAAATCCATTGGTCATGGAATGATCAAGATACAGAAATAGTTTTTATTAATGAAGGAAAAATGTCATCATTTAACAAAATTATATAATCCTTGTGAAAATGATTTTCTAATAGTTCAAATAGATGTCTCCGAGGATACTTGGGAAGGGTGCATGTTAGCAATACAAAATGGCAAGGAATTATTAAAAATGGATAATTATGGTAATATCAAAACGGACAATAATGAGGTTGTTGTCTCTCGCTCAAAGCCTAAAGATTAGCAGTCTACGGACAATATTATTGAATCTTCCGATTCTCAATTATCAGTTCCTTTCAACAGTGATAAATATTCTAAGAAATTATGTAAATATATTTCTTGAACATTTACCACTACTGAACAGAACTATCCAATTCATGAATTAGAGACACTAGCTTGTATCCGAACATTGAAAAAATGGAAGCTTGAATTATTATCCACAAGATTTGAACTTCAAACCGATTCTAAATATGTAACAGGTTTTTGGAGGTACAAGCTGCAAACAGATTTCAACAAAGGGAGATTAATCAGGTGGCAACAACAACTCCATTATTACAATCCTTATCTAAAGTATATCAAGTCCAGCAACAATCCGTTCACCGACACACTAACTCAAGAATGGAAGGATTTATAAAGACCCTCATCAATCAGCTAAAGCAGAAACGGGAAAAGAGTACAACACTAGAACAACAACTTCTCCTTTGCAGGGGGGAGGAAGAAGCAATAATTCAATCAATCAATGTTATTCAGCAACAGTTAAAGATCAACTACATCGACGTCTGTACTCTATCAATTAGCTCTGCTAATGGACAATCATTAGCACCCACCACAGAACTTGCTAAAAAAGAAAAGTCAACATCAACACAATCATCTACTACTAGTCTACTACCAGCAATAATACACAAAAGACGACACGATGGGCAGACATCGTTGAACAAGAAGAAAAAGAAGGAAGAGATTCCCACTATGAAGAAGACGACAGAAAAGGCAGCAAGTGGTATGTCATATTCAATGGACCATATCGAGGAGTATATCACAACTGGGCCATCGCTAGCCAACACATAAATGGCAAACCAGTCCAACATCAATCATTTAAAATAAAAGAAGCAGTCGAAGAAACATTTAGACAATCATACAAGGTGATGGCAATGAAAGAACCAGTCAAGAATCAAGAGCAACAATCGCAAAAACTTATCATGAAGATACCCGGTATCAAGAGCATCCCAATCACCAAAGGAAAAGAAGAACAATTAAAACCAGTCTTTCAGAAGTTCGTATCCAATTGGGATATGATAATCAACTACGAAGAAAAACACACAATCATGGGTTTTTACCCTGTCAGTCGAGGAGGACCCAAAGTAGTAATAACAGAAGAAGCATCACTAGAACTCTCTTTTGAGTTCGATCAGTATGGATTAATTGACACAATCTACACTACAACAATGAAAGTATTTGAATACTTACCACAAAGAATGAGGAACGTAATCAGAAGATACATTGAGCTATTCCCCTAGGAACGAGAAATATTTCTCAAGTATACAAGCAGCTACCCCATATTCAATCAAGACAAACTATTGGTTGGATCAAAGGCAGTTATCCTTATGGGAGTATCAAACCATGATTATCCTACCAGAGATGACCTACGAGATTATGAGAAGAACCCAGACTACCAAGTAAAGGGTCTTCTAGCAGTATGCAGAGCATTAACCAAGATTGAACCAGAAAGTCAGATCAAAATCAATTACAGCAGTCCCGATGCCATCATCACCAGCAAAACTAGAGGAAACATGACCAACGAAGAATGGACAATCATAACAGATAAAATTAATGAATTCACTGAAATTAATGGAAATCTGTCAGCTCTTCCCATCCGAATCAAGAAACAGCTTTGCAATGCACTTACTATCTATGAGGACCACTTCTATGAGTGGTGTGCATTAACTGACAAAGACATCAATGGACCAGCATACCAAGACTGAGAGAAGCATGTGAAGAAAGAGGAATCAAACACATATGGGATAAAAAGACAAGGAAAGGTTGGCCGACTCCTTTAGAAAAAGTCGTGCATTATTGTATCTTATCAGATATTCTTATCGTTTCACGCGTTTTCTTTTGACGTGTTAGCTTTACGTCCCTGTCACACAAACGTAAGCAATTACGTCTTTGTATCTCCTCTCAGCTCTATATAAGAGCAAGAGTTTGCAATGAAATAAGGTGGAGCCCACAACCACCATCGATATAATCAAACGTACGGAGAGCAGAAACAATCATCAAGCGATCATAAAAAAAACTCAGGGTTTCCCCAGAAAAACAAGTCAGGTATGTCTAATAATCCTACCTCAAGTTATTTTGACTACTTGAACAAAAACGATGATGAAAACTACTTCTTAGATGGTGTTATAGACATTAAGAAAATTAGAGAAAAAACTAATTTTACTATTCCAGAAACTCAAAACTTATCACTAAGTCTTTTTTATCAAAACTCTTTGATAGAGAAAACATTATTAAATACATTAAAATGATAGGTGAAGTACCAGTCCCTATTGATCAAACTAAAGGTGATTTTCTAATCCAAGTAATAAATAAAAGAACAAATTAGAAAAGGATTAGCTAAACTAAGATAAGAAGAACGAGATAAAATAGCTTATATTCATATTAGTACTACAATTCAAATTATCTTAAAATCCACCAAGAAAATAGGAATTGACGCACCTATGAAAATAGAAATTTGTGATGATAGACTCATTAATGAAGAAGAAAGTATTACTGTCAAAGGAATGAGAAATTTAGGTGTAGGAATAATTCAATTTAATATTAACATAGAACATGGATTGAGCCTAGCAGATGGTAACCTTGACTCTTCTATTATTATAAAATGAATTAAAAGAGAAAATTTTATGAAAGAAAATAGCAAATCATTTTCAGTAACTTATCAAATAAACTATGCGTTAACAAATAGTCACCACAGTTTAACCTTAAAAAATAAAGAAGTAATTACTATAGAAGATTTATTTAAACTTTTAATCCAATTAGAAGCACCACTAAAAACGTTAAAATAGAACCTAGCCGACCATCAATAACCCAAGACCAAAGATGGATGATTAGAACACAATCAGAGAGGATTAGACATATCCCAGTAATTGAACAAAATCTAGAACGAGAAGAGATAACCAATAATCAAGTAATAAATAAGTTAGAGAAATTACAACATTAAATAACAAATCTAGAAAATAAAATCTAACAGCTATTAAATATATGTTAATTACTGATACTATATATACTAGTATCTATAAAATAAATATGTCTACTGCTTATCATATAAACAAATTAATTGATGGAAGAGACGCTATAAATCTCACCTCAATAAATGATATCACTACAGTCACACATGAACTAACTTTACTTCGTCTCAGAAATTGTAAAGGAACAAATGAGTATTGGAACCACATAAAATTAGAAGAATCTGTCTCTAAAATCGAATTAGTTACTGATATAATAACCAGCCTAAATAAAATAAAACAAAGATTTCTAAATTAGTAAAATTAAATTTAGTTTTATACGTTTGGTATCAGAGCTAAAAAAAAATTACTTTTATCTTCTCCTTTCTTTCAATCTCGTATATCTTACCATGAGATATTGAATTCTGCTTAATGAATTGACTTTTATCTTCTCCTTTCTTTCAATCTCGTATATCTTACCATGAGATATTGAATTCTACTTAATGAGTTTTTCAATTATATATTATTAAATTTTTAGGTGCTGGTGGCACAACTTAGAGACAGCTCTCCTTGCGTAATTTGAATGAAGATATGATGATTTGGAGGGGATCAAAAGAATCTGGGTCGACGTGGAGAAAAGACAGAGATCGGCGGCAGCCGGTGGCGAGGGCGGCAGGGCTTTTTCGGAATATAACATTTAAACGGTCATTTCGACGCAGACAGAGTCCACAGGAATGTAATGTTCGATTCTCCCCACCACACCTGGAATAAAACTCGCTCTGGGTGTGAGGAAGGTCTCTTTCCACCGATTCGCCGAGTCACCGGGCCCGAGTTTGACCAGTCCTCCGAAGACCCTAACGTCGCCATCCCTCGCCGCCGGCGGAATTCTCCTCTGTTTGTATGATTCAACGATTCCTTGGTTAAGCCATTTCAGGCAGACTGCCAAAAAATGTCGTCCGGTGGTTCTCCCGGCAACCCGCTACTCCTGGTCTCGGTCTCTCCCGGCGATGAAGAGAAAGAGAAGCTCATCAAAGGAGACGAGAAAGATAAGTTCTTTCGAGGCTCCGCCATGACCAAGCGAGGCGCTTACGCTCCCATCTCTTACATGGCTTGTGCCGGTAATTTGTCAATCCAACTCCGGGCGAATTTAGCCGTCTTTTAGGTATAAGAAGCTTTGATTCCCAGCTACGAATTTTGTTTTCTGCTTTTGAAATTGCAGTGCTTCTTGTAATGTTCAATAAAGCGGCCCTCTCTTCTTACAGCTTTCCAAGTGCCAATGTCATAACACTCTTTCAGGTATGATTGCTATCTTTGTGATTGGGATGATTTCTTTTTAATGTTGGATTATCAGCTTGAATTCAGCAAACCCACTTGATCATGGAGAAGTTATATTAATTCTACCTTGGATTGAGCTAGGTTTTGGAGTGCTTCTGAGGTGGAATTGATATTTGTGATTACTTTCATGGTGCTGGTATTAATACTGATATTGTTCTTATTGTACTTGCTTTGTAGATGATATCGTCTTGCTTGTTTCTGTACCTGTTAAGGAGATCGAGGATTATATCTTTCAGTGCAGCTGAGTCTATGACTGCTTCTGATATATAGTGTTACTTTCGTATCATTTGAGACGTTGATGTATACTCTTCCTTTGTCGATCTCCTACTTGCTTTACATGTTAATTATCCTTTGTGATCTGTATGAATGAACACTTGCCCTCCCTACTCTTTTTTCTTCTTCTTTTTGGTAATTGCCCTCCCTAGTCTTAGTAATGCTTTTGTTGAAAAAAAAAAAAAAACTCGCCCTCCCCAAGTCTTAGAAGTAATGCTTTTGTTGTTTTTCCTTTTTCTACCGGAAGCTAGTTACGATGGAATCGGTGCGAGGAGTTAATGTTCCCATGTACACTACTCTGAGGAGGACTACAGTAGTGTTTACTATGATAATGGAGTACTTTCTTGTTGGGCAGAGATACCATCTCCAATTGTTGGAAGGTTAGTTGAACTTATTTTCTAGTGCAGAGTGTTGTTTTATCTGCTCCATATAACTGAAACTATTTGAGGATGTTGTTATTGTTGGGGCACGGGACTTATCATTTGACTTCTATGGATATGTTGTTGTCTTCATGGCCAATATCACGACAGCAATATATCTTGCAATCAATCATAAGCCGCATTGGTTTTTGCTTTTGAACTCTTCTTTTAGTTTCACATTTTTAGGTTGTCTCCAGTTTTTGAAATGTTCCTTCAGTAAGCCTAACGTGTGTGGCATTGCATGGTTTGTGACATATTCTTTCTGTCAGGAAAGTCTACTGGCCTTAATAGCTTTGGACTTATGTGGCGCAATGGTAAGTTTGACAGATTATGGTTTCCAGACTTCATCAGTTAATTGATTTATACTTTTCTTTGTTCTTTTGACGCTTTACCGAACAATGCTACCATGTTTTTTTTTATAACAGGAGTTATATGTGGACCTGTTCGCCTGTTTTGGACACTTATACACGGGGACATAGCGACGACAATGCATTTCCCTGATCTTTTTTTACCTGGTTTCTTGGTATGTTGTTGTTACTATAACAATCTCATGCAAGTCCCTTCGGGGACATCCGATAACAGTCTCATGCCAAACTCTGTATCTGATGTGAAACGGCAGTCTTCATTGTCTTTGATTCAAATTTCAAGTATGAAGGATAAAATTATGTATTCACTAAATTAATTCAGTATGTATCTATCTTTGAGCTGATTGGCTCCTTCAATTCTGAAGTTACAGGTGCTTAACTGCTTATTGTATTTGCTTTGCTTTGTTATCAATGCCTAAAAGTCCTGTATCATATTTGATTTGCTTCAAGGACATGTGCTATTAAATATTTCACTTTTTGCTTCATGCCTTTAATTGTGCATGGTTCCAATCATCTAAACATGATCCTGGCAGAGTTGGGTACTAGAGCTTTTCTGTTATTCAATATGTAAGCGATACAAAATAATGCGTTGTTCTGACAAGCATGCTCCTTTTTTCAGGCTGTGATGGTCCTTTCTTGCATACTGGCGTTCTTCTTGAATTACAACATTTTTCTAAATACAACACTCAATTCAGCACTAACACAGAAAATTTGTGGCAATCTCAAGGTTTGTAAACATGATTGCTTAACTCCCCCCTCCCGCCTTTTGTTACTTGTCCTTTTTTCCTTCTTGTTGGTATTTCACTTGTCTCGTGCCTGCAGTTCATAGGGTGGTAAGCAGGGGTTTTCAGGAAGATTAAGAAGCATGCAAATTTGGATTTCTTACAAATGGAATTTGATAAACTAGTATTGGAATGTAACTACTCTCTATTTTCGGAGTACTCTTTCGAATAGAACTTTCTAAGTTCTAACCATGCGAAAATGTATGTTGCTGACAATATTCCAGATGCACTGAGGTTGGGTTGCATGTGTTATGACGTCAAAATGTTGTCTTTCGTTAGCTATTAACAAAGTTGTTCCTGAAGAAGGTCTCTGTAGTTTGGAAACGCGCATGTTATTCTTTTGAATGTCCCTCTACTTTTGCTTCTTGGCAAAACCTGTGGATGTTGTTTGATTCTCCATTGTAAGCTTTTGAAACTCTTTTCTCATTTCATGTGATCAGCTCTTAGAGATACGCTAATAATGTGGGCATGTTTAATTAACTGGCGTGCAGTTTAACGTTCTTGGACAAATCCTTGGTTTCTTCGGCTCTGGGTTGTATGTTTACTTCAAGCTGAAAGGGAGATAACTAAGGCCACTACAAGGTGAACAACAATTCAGTTATTGGAAGTCGGTTAATCTACCTCTGATTCTTGAGTCACAATTCCTTGTACTCTCAGCATGACAGCTTAACAGATTGGTTAACTATATCTACTACTCGAAGGCCTGTTCTCCGGGTTCTGGCTTTTCGTGTGAGTTATAGCAACTGACCTTATTCGGGCTTTACCTCTGACCGAGTCCTGACTGCAGGAAAGTTCCGTTGGAGGCTGTTCATGTAATGACTGGGCATAGTAGCATATAGGATAGGTCAACATCCTTCCAAAATTTGGCTTTCTACTCGTACTGCTGATCTCTGCTGTAGTTTCCCCTTATCTCGGAAGGTTGTTGATTCCATTCCGCATTAGGTATTTTGTGCATTGCTTCTCAAGGCAGTTATGAATGTCAGACGGTTTGGAGTTGAACTGTTGTTTTTCTTCTTCTTCTTCTTCTTCTTCTTCTCTTCTTCTTCTTCTTCTTCTTCTTCTTCTTCTTCTTCTTCTTCTTTTGCATTCTGAGATTTTTGCTATATAGTGCTAGCTTGATTCCTTTCAAACCAAGTGGTGGACACGTGAAATTCAGTAATTTGTTCCACCCTTCGCTACTACAACATGTCGAAGAAGAGTGGAGAACGGAGGCAACAAGCACGAACGAACGAGTACTACAGCTACGACACTTCACCAAACTAGACACTTCACCAGCTGGCCTCACTGAGTATAAACTAACTAATTCAATATAATTACATGTGTCTCAGGCAGACAATTATTATATTACAATCTAATTAGCTCACAATACTATATGTGTGAGGTGAGAGTCAGGCAATGCTAATATATAAATCTGAACAATACAATAGGATTATCGAAGAAAGAAAAGTTTGAACAATAGTAATATCGTTGCTCTAAAAATGACGGTGTAATGTAATCAATTCAATATCTGTTAGTTCACCGCGAAATTATCATCAATTCATTAGATGGTCAACGCTTTTGGTGGGCGACTCACATTAACAAATACTCACTCACCTCGCACTCTCTCACTGTATTATATATATCGATTATGATTTGTGAAGTTGTAGCAAAGAACCAAAGCGCCGGAGAAAATGGAGGTCCTCCTGGGTTGCTTGCTCTGCGGTCTGTTCATCGTTCTCCAATATCTCCTCACAAGAAGAAAGGCCAACGGAACTACCTGCCGGGGCAAACTCCCGCCGGGCCCTGCCAGGCTTCCGATAATAGGCAACCTCCACAATCTGGGCAGCCAACCCCACCGATCCTTGGCCGATCTAGCCAAGATCCACGGCCCGCTGATGATCCTGAAGCTGGGCCAAGTGACCACCATCGTGGCTTCTTCCCCGGCCGTGGCCAAAGAGATTCTGCAGAAGCAGGACCAGCTGCTCTCCGACCGCCAGGTCGTCCTCGCCGTGAGAGCCCTGGACCACCACCAATTCAGCGCAGCCTGGCTCCCCGTGGGATCAAAGTGGAGGAACCTCCGGAAGATCTCCAACTCGCACTTGTTCGCCACCCAGAAGCTGGATTCCAACGAGGAGCTACGGAGGGAGAAAGTTCAGGAGCTCATGGAAGATGTTCGACGAAATGCCTCTGAGAGGCCAGGGGAGGCCGTGCTTGAACGCTGTGTCGAGGACGATGTTCTCGTTGGACCTGGCGGACGACGACCAGAGGTCGGACACCGCCAGGGAGTTCAAGGAGGTTTCGAGATTGATCCTCGAGGAGGCCGGGAAACCCAATTTGGGAGACTATATCCCTCTCTTGGCCAGATGGGATTTGCAGGGGATACAGAGGCGGATGACGATTCATTTCGGCAAGGTTTTCGATATGTTTGGAAAGGTGATCGACGAGCGGCTGCGGCAGCGGGAGTCCGAGGGCTATGTCTCCGCCAACGACATGCTCGACACGCTTCTGGACATTGGGGCTGATCAAAACACCAGGGAGGAGACTGCCATGGATCCACTTTGCATCAACCACTTGTTCTTGGTGAGTTCAACTTTTAAATTAGTGTTTGGGAGATCTTAAACGATTTTATTGGTCTTTTTTTTTTTTTTGTCCTAATGGTTGGAAAATTTTCATTAATTAGTTCATTAAATAAGTAGCATCATATCATAATCAATCCAGAGATCAGTAATCAATCAAGAGAACAGAAACCTCACATGCTGTGAAGTAGAAACAAGCAAAAAGACAAATTTGATTAATCATTTTCTTTCTAAGAAGCGGAATAAAATAACCCGATTGAACCATAATGATTATACATTTTTAATGCATTGTGTCTCTCATAGTGTCTCATTATTCTACTATTTCCCTAGAGGATGACAATTTGGATCAATAAATCTGGCGTAATATTTTTTTTAAACAACAAACTATATGTATATCCATTCATGGCTATCCGCTATAAATTATTTTTCTTACTTTTTCGGCTCATCTATACTCATCCTTCTGATGCATCAGGATCTATTTCTAGCGGGAACCGATACAACTTCAAGTACATTAGTGTGGGCAATGGCGGAACTCCTACGCAATCCCGATGTACTTGCTAAAGCCAAGAAAGAACTTGACCAAATAGTTGGGAAAGGAAATCATTTGCGGGAATCAGATATACATCGATTACCCTATCTACAATCAATCATTAAGGAGACTTTGAGGTTACACCCAGCGGTCCCACTTCTCATCCCCCGCAAGGCTAGAGCAGATGTGGAAATCTGCGGCTTTATCGTGCCCAAAGATGCACAAATTCTTGTAAATGCTTGGGCTATTGGTCGAGACCCATCAACATGGGACGATGCTAATTCATTTGTGCCAGAAAGGTTTTTGGGGTCGGAGGTGGATGCCAAAGGGAACTACTTTGAGTTGATCCCATTTGGTGCTGGAAGAAGGATATGCCCTGGATTGCCTTTGGCGACGAGGATGTTGCATATGATGCTGGGTTCGTTTGTTCATTCGTTTGACTGGAAATTAGGAGATGAGATCGTACCAGAGATGTTGGATATGGAAGAAAAGTTTGGAATTAGTTTGGAGAGAGCCAAACCTTTGTTTGTTGTTATGACTCCCAGATGAGATCATGAGATAATGGAGACGATGGTATGCACATTGTTCGATAGAATTCTTTGTTTGACAAAAATTGTTGTGTGATTATCGATTCAATAAAAAAAGTATTGATATTTTGTTGGTCGTTTTTCATATTGAATTGAAGGTGTGGCAGCAATGAACCAGCAAGGTTGGGAGGTAGCAAAGGTGACCACATACTTCGCGGCTTCTCCAATTCATGGAGTTTTCAATGTGGATTAGTCGGAGTTCGATTGTGATTCTCGTATTGTTTGGGTTATTTCTTGTAGTCTTTTTGATTGTTTCCTGTACTCTTTTGGGTAGTTCTTATATGGTTTCAGTATTTGTTCTTGTATTCTTGTGGTTGTTTTTGTACTCTTTTGTTTGAATTTTCACTCTTATTTTGAATAAGTTTCTTTTTCTAACTTTTATTTTTGTAATATCCGTGTTGATTTTTAAATATCTCCTTACAATGTAAGCATCTGGCCTATCACATTCACCTTCGATTCAAATAAGCTATCTGGAGTTGTCTGCCATGGCATGCACGTGTATCAACTCACACACCAAGTTCATCTGTCAAAGTATTGTGTAGCACCACCCATGTAGCTGAGATTTTCATCTCCTGCTGTTATAATCAGAGCATTCTCTAAAGATTGATGACAAATTTAAAATGTGTCAAGTCGATTCATCAAATGCGATTTAGTGGAGATCAGTCATACGTTTATTGTATTTTTAAGGGTTAATAGCATTTTGTACCCCTCTATTATGCTAAATTAACAAACGTACCCCTCTATTAAATCTGTGCACAAACATACCCTTTTAATATTAAAATGTAACGAATATACCCTTCCGTCTAATTTTCTATTAAATGGCCGTTAAAGAAGTTGTAATATGACCCAATTACCCCTCATTTACTCTTAAACAAACATAAATTCAATTTTAATTATTTTGTAACCCAAAGTAATTCATTAAAAAGCCAAACCCCCCACAGATCGTCCGTCTCCCCCCTGAAGTCACCGTTGGCCGTCGATCCGGCGGCGACCCCTGCTCCCGGCATCTCCTCGGCGATTGGAGTAGAGATAACTGGTTGATAGGCGAGAAACGAAGATTAGCTTTCCAGATTCTCCCTGATCTCGACCTTCTCCCTTTTCATTCTCTGATTCCCCTCCGACGACCAGACGGCGGTTAGGTAAGTCGCCGAATGTGTTTGGCTCCCCTTCCACTTCGCCGGCAACCGTCGATTATGTTTCCCTACGCCTTTTCTAAACCTTCGATTCCTTCCTGGCTTCTGGGTTAATTGCGTCACGGAGAAGGGTGATGAATGTACCAATTTTCCCCGCCCGACTCTTTCTTCTTTCTCCGATCTAAAATTATTTCACTGCCGCTTCTCCCACAACTTTAACTTGGACAATGCATTTCTATTTTTATATATATCCCAATTCACAAGTGATGGAACCAAATCTCTGGAGAACTACAAATTAAATGTGAGCGCCCACTGACGGACCACTACTAGATCGAGAGTCACTCTAGAACTGGGAATAGAATTCGGAACCATAAAATATCAGGCGGCCGCGGAGAAACAGACAGGCAAGGACTTCGACGGCACAGCTGGAGGTAGCGCTGCGCTTTACTCGGAGAATGCGACTCTTTCGATGAGGAGATGCCGGGAGCAGCTGGCGCCGCAGAGTCGAGGGCCAGCGGAGACTCATGAGGGGGAGACGGACGATTAGGGTTTGATCTTTTATTTAATTGATTTGGGATATAATATAATTATAATTATAATTAGTGTATTTAGGATTAAATAAGGGGCAATTTGGTCATTTTACAGCCCATTTAACGGTCACTTAACAGATAATTAGACGGAAGTGTATGATTGTTACGTTTTAATACTAGAAGGGTATGTTTGTGCGAAAAAATAGTAGAGAGGTACGTTTGTTAGTTCGCAATAGTAGAGGGGTACGAAATGCTATTAACCCTATTTTTAACGAAGAATCATATTTTACGCAAATGAAGAGAACATATATAAAATCAAAAGCAATGCACAAATTGAAAACGACTCGAATCCGTTGACCCGACTTGAATTCGTAGGAAAAATAAAAAATGGACTGAAGTTTTTATAACTCGAAATTCAAACGACCCGGACACGATTAACCCCATAGTTTTTTTTGTCAGGTTGGGTGGGTTAGCGGGTCAAACCACTAGACCTGTTCCATTTCATATGTCACCTTTAAAATAAAATAAAAAATTATTTATAAATCAGTGAGATGTTTAAAAAAAAATCTTAAGAATTTGAAAGACAAGTTTGGAGTGTAAGGATAATCAAACATCATTTGTTTTTCGTAGTAGTATGACTTTCATGATTGTTTTTTTTTATTATGATTTGTGCAATCTTTATTTCTTTTCATTAGCATGGAAGGATTTGAGCATTTGTTAACCGAAATGTGCTAAGTAAACTATTGCCATGCATATGTGAAATTTCTATTTTAAAAAACTTATTTATTAAGCATGTTTGATATTGTTTATGAGAACGCTCATAATCAAAATGACTCGAAACTCGATTCGAAACCGAATAAATTGGATCAATATTTGACCCAAAAATTTGCCAACCCCACGTGACCCGACTCGTGATAACTGTTTTGTCGATCGCCAGGTCTAACTACAAATTACACAAAACAGCAAACCAGTTTAGTTAGATGAACATTTGGATAGAACATCAAGCAGCCTAAAAATCTAGGCTAAAGAGTTGTTTGTTTTGCACATTTCTCTCTCTCTCTCTCCCTGCAAAAGGCAGCGGGAGTTGGAAAAGGAGAAGAAATAACGACGATCTGGTCAACGGACGCAAAAAACGTTATCCCGTTCCCTCCATCTGTCCTCCCTTCCGAACAGATCCAGAAAACTAGCAAGCTCTTCCTCTTCCCTCTCTCTCCTCTTCAAATTCTTGCCATGGCGCCAGCTCTCTATTTCAGTTGCAGAGATAACCAAAAGAAAAGAAGAATTGAACAAGAAAAGAAGAACAGAGTTGCGGAACCCTAATTATTGTCACACATGCACTGTGCAATTCAACCATCCTTTTCCCCGCGCGTGTTCACTATCCTTTCTCTCCAGCAGCTGGGAGCTTCGCCGAACGACATCGGAGGTTGTAAAATTTCGAAACAAAGATGAGTCTCGTTGACACCAGGATTGACATTGGCAATTTTGGCGGTGGTCCTGTGACGGAGTTTCTTCACCACCAGTCCAATTCCTTGCCGTTCCTTGCCTTGTATGGCTTCTCCAATCAAGGAAGCTTTTCGTACAGTAAGCTTCCGGCGAGGCCGATTACGCTCTCTGTTCTCAAACTCGACGGCTCCTGCTTCGGTAAGTTCCACCCCCCGCCTCCCCTGCCCTTCTTCTGTCAGGTTACTGAAATTTCCTTATTCGATCCTACTAGCTAGCTCGAATCGATCTTGTGAAAGAGATGGGTTTTGATTGATTTGCACTGCAGATATCCAAATTAAGCATCTTGCTACGGTTGGTGAATTGAAGCAGGCGGTGGAGGCTGCCTTCAGCTACATGCCGCAGAAGGGCCCGGGCAAGATCTCATGGTATGTTTCTTCATTGCCACATTTAATGGAAGCTGAGAATTGGTATAGGATTGATGGAATCGATGCCGGTTTTGTAAAAGGGTATGTGTTCAATGCAGGCGGCATGTATGGGGGCATTTCTGCTTAGGTTTTCATGGCCAAAAGCTACTCTCTGAAGCTGACTCCATTAGCTGTTTTGGGATTATGGAGGGTGATCAGGTTTGTGGCCATGTTAACCTTTCTGTTCCATTGTACATAATTGCATGCTGGTTTTTTCTGGCGGTACTCTTCAATTGGTCATGTTCATGAACAATGGAGTTCTTTAGATTGGCAAGTTTGTAAGAGATGATTGTATATTTATGATTTATACTTGTACCATGAAAGAACTTGATCAGGGCATGCCCAATTTTTTATACTTTTTGTCCACTTTGAAGTGATGCTTCGGGGGTTCGTTTCATATTTTGAGCAAACATGTGATAGTTACATGCTTCTGGTTCTTCAATGCAGTTTGTTTGGTATGGAAAAAAGGTGATTGTTTTGATCTCAATAAGGTGCAATGGTGCATTTTCTTGAGTTCTGGGTTATCAGTAATTTGCACCAGAATGCTTCCATCTGTTGTTATCTGCTAGTTCTCAAGAAATGGTGTGAAGGCTGGATGCCCAAATCAGATACATGACGATTCGTTATGTTGATTAGATGTTTGGAGAATGCATCTTTTGTATGGTTCCCCTGGGTATGATTGCTTGTCGTGCATGCATATACTTCCAACTTCTTGTGGTAACACTTCTTCTGTATCTGCAGCTCCAATTCATCCGGCATCTCTCAACCAGCTGCATCTTCACAAAGAAAGGCTCCTTTAGAGGGATATTAAGTTCAGAAAGAAACAAAATGTATGCTCTTTATCCTCCTTTATGAACTTCCGTTGTCGTTTGATAATGCTGGTACTTGTGATTCTGTACAAAAAAAAAAAAAAACTGTTCCGGTTCATGCCTGAGCAAGCTGCATAAATAAGGAGACTCGAACGAGTTAGAATCTGAGCGGCATTCTGAGAATAGTCATGTAATTAGGTCATCAGGTTGTGATAGTGGAATTCAACAGTTTAGAACTTTTGGTAATGTATTAGGCTAATTGATGTTTTCACCCCGGTGACGGGTGATCTTTAGTTCGATAACAGCACCAAGAAGAGCTGCTGCTGCTGCTGCTGCAGAAATAGAGCTTACTGCTGCTGATGATGATGATGATGACTGTTTGAGTGAACTGGAGAATGGAACGTATTGTCACAAGGACAACAGCCATCTGGGGATGATTGAACTTCAAGAAGTCATCAACGACCCGAGCTTAACGACTCCATGGTTCCCTTACTCGAGGCTTTCACCAAGGGAGAAGAAGAGAAAGTTCATGGTATCTCCCTTGAGATACAGATGTGGCTTCTTCTGCGGATTCAAAAACATCGTCCAGTTTTGTGGTAATCGGTGTTAACAATCACGTTCCCCCAACAATTACTAAACCATGATCAGTCTATACACCCATTTGAAAGGTGGATTCCAAAAGAAAAGTGTCTGTACTAAAAGTTGTATAGAAGCCAGGCCATATCCTTGTAAAAAATTTTGGACAGAAATTTTGGACTATAATGGTAAAAGTATTCCTTCATCCCTTACCCCATGACCCCAAAGTATCAATTCTCGATAAATGCGAGTAAGTCGCACCTCTCAATAACAATAACAGTAAAATATGAGGAAATCATCTCTTGTTGTTATGACAAAAAACCTAATGGCAGCTCATTTACGCCATTTTGTGTTCATTCACGTCATTTTATGTTCATTCACGTAATACTATAGTGATTTATGTAAGAGTGTAAGTTTTTCATGTAAATGGAAATTCAGACCTTTTCTTCTAATAATTTGTATTAGCTATATTTTATGGAATTAAATTTGAATTACCAATTAAACTGTAAAAATATCTTGCATTGATCATAATCTACATAATGACATCCATTTTGATATATTTCAAAGTTTATAATTTTAGTTTACAATGACATGAACAATTAACAATATGCAGGAATGAACATCAGGTTGCGTGACCTAACAATATTGGTTGCGTGAATAATCAACACGCTTACGTAAATAACGCAAATATAACGTGAATGAAACAAATATGACGTGAATACAACAAATATGGCGTGAATAACCCAAATCAGGTGTTTTGCCGCCTAACGTGACAATGACAAGAGAGTTCACTCAAAATATAAAACGATACCACAAGATTAAGTTGGTGTATTGATGATTGCACACTCTGGTTGCAGAAAGAAGAGATTGTGTTAACAGCAGAAGAAACGTCAGTTTTTTCTTCACCTAAAATGGCAGTGCAGAAGGAGTGAACACGAGCCTGTCACGTGCTTCCACAACGGTCGACAACGACCCTTTTCACTTTACCATTTCACTGTTTTATTCCTTTTACAGTCTGAGCTGGTTTCTTTTGTCCTGTAATGAACACTTCGATATATAAATGAAAGGAAGAAGGCAGAAGGAAGATCAACTTTCCTTCTTCCAATTTTCTCTGAGAAATTCCTTTGTTATGGTATCAGAGCCTCCAGGTTAGGGTTTCCAACCCCTAACCCTTCCTTCGTCTTCTTTCTTTCTTTCTTTCTTTCTCCCTTCCCCTTGCTTTTTCCACCTCTGTTTTCCTTGTTCGCCATCATCACCATGGTTGATGGGAATGAGTCCGCTACTGCAGCAGCAACTGCTGCCACCAGCTCTGGCACGAAGAATGATTACCCACTCTCAGATCCCTATTATCTCCATGGATCTGAGCAGCCTGGGCAAGTTTTGATTTCAATCAAACTCACTGCCAACAACTACAACGACTGGAGTGTGGCGATGCTCGACGCCCTTGCATCCAAGAACAAATTGGGTTTCATCGACGGTACGATCCCTGAAGCACAGCCTGGCGACGACCTCGAATGGCCATGGACGAGATGCAACATGATGGTGAAGAGCTGGATTCTGCAGACAGTCGATGAATTGATTGGTAAAAGTGTGCGTAGTCTCAAAACTGCCACTGAGGTCTGGAATACTCTTCGGAAAAGGTACGGTCAAGCTGATTTTTCCGAATCATTGAACTATATGAACAATTATGCACGATGAAGCAAGGTGCGAGATCGTTATCTGATTACCATACAGATCTCATCACAGTTTGGGAAGAACTCAAAAACTTCCAGCCCATTCCTACCTGTGTTTGTGCTCCTAATAGCCATCGTGATTGTGTAGCCATCAACACAGTGCGTTTTTATCATGATACTAATCTGATTGTTCATTTCCTTCGTGGGTTGAACGACAACTATGCTATCCCTCGGTCTCAAGTCCTGTTTAGTGATCCGCTTCCTACAATGGACCAAGTCTTTCACAGGATGGTTCAATATGAACGCCAATGCTATGGCACTACTCAAGATAAGAGTCGAGCTGTTGAGTCCATTGCTTTAGCACTGCAGTCTATGGGTATTCGTTTTCCAGATCAACAGCAGGCTAAGTCAGAATGGCACAACCCTTCTGGCAGTTTCAGAGGCCGAGGCCGGGGTCGTGGCAGATTTGGTGCTCAACGTCCCTACTGCACATTCTGTAAGATGCAGGGCCACACCGAGGAGACCTGCTATTATAAGCATGGGTGGCCTCCTGGTATGTCTCCCAGAGGTGGTCGAGGCATTCTTTCTTCGCCTCCAAGGCAAGCACACTCAGCTGTCACTCAGCCCACTACTGATGGAGTCACTTTGAGCAAAGAAAAGTATGATGGCCTTATGAATCTTTTGAAGTCCACTTCTGGTTCTTCATCAGGGACCTCTGGTACCTCTACTCCAAGTTCTTCTCACGCAGCTGCTGCCTTCGTAAGTAGAAATCTGGATGACTCAGGCAAGTATATCCTCTCTTCTGTCCCAGCCTGTCCTAAGTTATATCATGATCTTTGGATACTCGACACTGGGGCGACAGACCATATAGTCTGTGATAAGAATCTGTTTCATAGCTACACTGCTGTGACCAAGGTTAACATCAACTTACCTACTGGTCAATCCATCCAGGCTACTCACATGGGGACTGTGATCTTTTCATCCAATCTTATCCTCACTGATGTCCTCTTTGTCCCTGATTTCACCTTTAATCTCATTTCAGTGAGCAGACTTACTCAGCAGAATCATCTTTGTCTCACTTTCTCTTCTGGTTTTTGCTATATTCAGGACACTATGAAGATGCAAGTGATTGGTTCTGCTGAGCTCCTTCATGGTCTATACAGAATGCACAGAAGTCATGTTCCTGGTTCTTCTACAGTTGCTGCCTCAAGTGCAACTCCTCCCTTTGATCTCTGGCATTATAGGTTAGGCCATGTTTCCTATTCTAGGCTTCCCTACCTAAAGCAATTGAACTCTAGCATAGACATGAGTCATATCCCTGGTTGTGATGTATGCCATTTTGCACGGCAGAAACGGTTACCTTTTCATCCTAGTAGCTCAGTTTCCAGTAGAGCTTTTGACCTTATACATATGGATATCTGGGGTCCTAATGTTAGCCCATCTCATGATGGTTTTCGTTACTTTTTGACCATTGTCGACGATTTCAGTAGAATGACATGGGTTCTACTTATGAAACAAAAATCAGACACCAGACCTCATTTGATTTCTTTTTACAACCTAGTAGAAACCCAGTTTTCAGCTCCAATTAAACGAATCCGAAGTGACCAAGGGAATGAATTCAAAATGAAAGACTTAATAACAAAAAATGGCTACGCTTGGACAACTGAGTGCAAAGTTATGATCGTTCGAAATTTTGATTAGGAGTGGTTCGTTGGGATCACGTTCCGGCCATTTTGGATGTGGTTCTCTTCAATGTCAAGCGAACCACTCCAAACTTGGATATTTTTTTTAGGGGGGTTAAAGTGTGGTATTGTGAGTTTTTTCTTTTATAGAATTTTGTCCTTTGATAGAATCCCCAGATTTTACAGAAAAGCATGCAGGTCGTTCGTGGGTTGGTTGTCATCGCTATTTGTCTTGTGTGTGGTGCGTTTGACTAGTTTTCAGTGGGCTCTTCAAGTTTGGCAAACAGGAGAAGCTTTGTTGGTTAAGGATCATTTTTCCTCTACGCTCAGATTGGGTGCGGAGTAGGGAGTAATTGCAGGGGTATCAACTTTAGGGGGACGCTACTACTTCCACTACTTTGCAGGGTTTCTTTGATGTGGCTACGTCCAAGGAGGTTTTCAGCTCGGAATCTTGTGTGTTGTTGTGTCCGACACACCTTTATTATGTTGTGATAAATTTATTGTTATAAAGTTACTTTAATATGTAAATATCAAAGTTGTCAATCTCAGTACAGCAAGTGGGTTGAGGGTTAATGGTTCGATTGTTTTAGCTTGGATATATGAAATTCATTATATTGTTCATACAAGTATAAGTTATATAAAATCTCATCTAACATATGGATAATAACATATAACATCGTACCAAAATACCAGTTCGTACTTGCATTCCAACATATAGTGAAAATTCAAACACTCATATAACTTCAATATTCAAAGTTCAAACGTTCAGTTTAGAATTCCAAAGGAAAAGAGGCGTAATGTGCAAACCAAAGGAAAAAACAATGTCATGTGACCTCCAGAATAATTACAAACATTTTAGAATATGAAAATTCGTCGTGATTTGTTGTAAGAGGCAAGAACATTGTACACTTTATGAATTAATTATTTAAATAATTTTTCTTTAAATATTATTAATTAATATTTTTATTTTATTTGGTCGACCGACACACCTATACAAAAATCCTGGGTCCGTAACTGAATATGTTGATCAATGGAGGTAGCCAGGTAGGTTATTGCTTCGTGTAATGGTAGAAAAAAAGAGAACAGTAGTGTCTGTGATGTTGCATTGGTGAAATCATGTACAAGTGGTTGAATTGGTGTAAATTGTAGGATAGTATTGTAACGGTTTTGTTATCATATACTCGTTATATTTACAACTCTCAACTATTTGATCTCTAATGCCGTTTCACATATATATAAGGAGAATGATTTGTCTGCTTCTCTGTTTTGTTTTCATCGGTAACATTCGAAGTGTGATCGATGGTTTGAGAAAGAAAATTCATAGGACGATAAATTAATGGTAGGTGTTGGAGCCTCACTATCTTCGAACCTGGCGCCCGTGATTCTTCCTTGTTTCCTCTATGTGGGCCCCTCACCTACACAAACACAGAGGAGGGCTTCGAAGCCCGTTAATCCTCCAACGCACAAGTCAGTTATCTTTTAGAGAGAGAAGTGTCAAACTCTAGAGTTTAGTGAGAGAAGCCAACCTGTGTAAATGCTTACCTACCGGCACTATTAATAAATGTTTACTGTTCACCCAGGCTCCTTCATACTTGTCCCACATCAGCACCACATTTAATGCTCCGTACCGTCTCCATCTCAGGCGCCCCGACACACATGTCAGCCCATCTGACACATGCAAGGCACCTACCAGTAGACGACCATTAGTACTATTTTGGACTGCTCCAGTTTGTCACTATGCGCCTATTTTCCCTTGCTCTCACCTGCCCTATTTGGGCCCATCAACATGCCTTAGACTCCAAAGTGGGCTTTACTCGTCATACTACAAACTTTTGGGCCCTTTCCTTTTATACACACCCCCAACAATTGCCCCCCAGTTAGGCGCTCGGCGTCACTAACTTGAGTGCCTAACTATTTCCAACGGTGATGTGGTTGT